TCGAGATGGTTTGGGGTGAGCTGGACCGCAGAGTGAAGGCAAAGGGGCCAACAAGTGCTAAACACCTCTGGGAACTCCTTCAAGACTGTTGGAAAACCATTTCAGGTGACTACCTCTTGAAGCTCATGGAGAGAATGCCAAGAGTGTGCAAAGCAGTAATCAGAGCAAAGGGTGGCTATTTTGAAGAAACTAGAATATAAAACATGTTTTCAGTTATTTCACCTTTTTTTGTTAAGTACATAACTCCACATGTGTTCATTCATAGTTTTGATGCCTTCAGTGAGAATCTACAATGTAAATAGTCATGAAAATAAAGAAAACGCATTGAATGAGAAGATGTGTCCAAACTTTTGGCCTGTACTGTATATATATATATATATATATATAGCTACTCTCCAATGAAAATGACAGTTTTCAGATAGCTGATATGCTGTAATTAGCATTTAATTAAATGAATAGGCAAACAAATCTGATTGGTTCTTCCTCACTTGTCCTCTCATCAGTGGCGCGTGCACTCGTCTCGTGTTCCCTCTCCACCACCAGCAGATACAGTTAGAGAATTTATGGCAATAAGAAACTTAGGTGAGTCACTTATGCTTAAGGTTCAGTGATATCTCAAATAAACTTGGGTTAGGCTACGTTTTACTAGCTAACCTAGTTAGCTGTTAATATTTTACCAATAAATTTGCTAAAGGACTATTTTACAATCACAGACCAGGGTAAAACCTAGACTTTTAGGAGGAGATATAACTGCTGCTTTTTGTAGGTTATTATCCATATGCCAAATTAGCATAAAGAGTCAATGATTAATAGAAAAATAATTTATATTTTACAAGGTGTACACATGCCTATATAGCGAGCACCAATATGGTGCTACAATTGTCACGGTGTTTGGTGGCGAAGGGGTGAAACTGAATCCACATATGTCTGTGTTTAGCCCAGCCTGCATCAGTCAGGACTGTAGAGAGGGAAGAAGATATTCATCTTGACCGGACAAGAGGTCGATACGTCCCGGCTGCTGCCCGGTGTCCTGTCAGGAAAATGTCCCTGGAGAAGAAAAAAAGGAGAGCTGCGTCAAGCTAGATACAATTAGCCAAAGCCACAGTTAGGACCAGAAGCAGGGGAAATGTCCTTCAAAATAAAAGAGCAACACGTGTGTGCATACAGGAACAAAGGGTGGGTAAGGTTCATAAATACTCACCATAGACATGCAGAGATTGTAGTTTGTGAACAGAGTTTGGCTCATATCAGTTTCCATGACATGAATTAAATTGTTTAATTTGGACTAAGTTATAGAAAAATACAGATTATCCTTTTTGATGTTTCTGCTGATGGAAGTAGTTGCTTATGGTGGTCAGTGTGGGTCATAATTAGTGCTCAAACAATTTGACATAACAGAAAATTAGATCAACAACAATTCTGATAATTGATTAAACGTCCAAGTCTGTCACATATGAAGCAAAAATGTTTCCATTTTATGACATATGAGGATCTGAGAGCAAAATTTAAAACAAAAAGTATATTTTTTCTTTGAGTATTAATCTGACAAAATATATACATTAAATGGGTTAATTAAAAAATAAAAAAGACAATCAAGTTAAATTAATTAGTTCCTGCTCTAGTCGTCCTACTACAGTAATGTTATTTTTACATGTTTTAGTTGACTTAATTTCATTTTAAACATTTGTTTGTACAGAGAGGGGGTCTAGAACAGACTTGTGAGATTATTTATTTATTACTTAATAAAAACTGCATGGAACCACTTTGAAATACACTGCTAGTTCTTCAAGTTTATATGAACTGCTTTGGAGTTGCAACAAAAGATTCATTTCATTTTTAATAATGCTGCAGATTATTTTCTCAATTACTTGTTTGTTCTGTGAAATGTGGAAAAAATGACATTCACAGTTTCTCAGAGCCCATGGTGATGTCTTTAGTTTGCTTGCTGTATCTCACCAGCGGTCCAGAACTCAAAAGCTATTTAATTCACTGCCCTACATGACTAAGAAAAACTGCATATTTTTCACACTTGAGAAGCTGACACTAGAAAATGTTTTAATGGTTTTACTTGAAGTGACCAACAATTAGTGAATTATCAAAAAAAAAGTTGAAGAATTATTGACTAATCAGAATTAGAGAGAAGAACTATAAGAATTACTGAATAATTGTTCCAGTGTTGTAATCGATTGTACTTTTTGGGCCATCAAAAAGTTTATTTTCTTTTAATTTTTTTTGTATGGAAGCTGGTAGTGCACAAAAACATTGCACCCCATGATTAATAGCAGATTTATTTTGAATGTTGTGACAGGAAGTGTATATAATTCCCTGTAACTTGACAGTGATGGTGAGAGGAGAGCAGTGGTGACTGTGCACATCGGGGCTTAAATTAAAGAGGATGCATGGAGATCTCAGACAGCTGGCAGGATTATTCATCCCCTTGTTGCACAGCGTGTCCTGACTGCAGCCAGGTAAGTCCAACTGTCCATGGTGCTGATGTTTCTTTCAGCGTCCTCATGCTGCTCTGCAGTTTCTCATTCAGCCACCAGCTGTACTGCAGGTGCACCAGGTTACCTAAAGTCTATGTGAACTTCACTATCAGCAGGGATGCATCTGCATTGAGGTACAGAGGAATTCACTTGGTACATGCATGCATTCTTGAAACCATGCAAAGAGTATTTAATCAGTTTTAATTCTTGAAATTTAAATCTTGAATGTACTGATTGTCATTTTTTCATTCAGACATAGATAAAAGACAAACCAGACAAAGAGGGAGACCAAATGCTTTGAGGTGGGATTTTTATAATGACACAAAAAGTGGATTTTTGATAGAGATCATATGTCTTCTTATCTGTGTGTCTGTATCACATGCATCTGGAGCTGGAGCTCCTGAGGTTATCAGACAGATTTTAAGTCCTTGCTCAAGGACAAAACTGTGGAGTGAGCAGGGAGGGAGCTGAATCAATGCATAACATCTGTATGAGTCAAAAAACAGTCTGAGCAATGTCACTCACTAGTGTAGCTTCAAATATGTGTTTCTTTGCAGAGCACTGATGCTAATTTGTCCCTGCTGACTTATGTGTAAATATCATGCATTTTTAAACCAATCAATATAAAACGTCAGTTTCAGGTCTGCAGTTTGAAATGTTTTGATAAAAAAATGTTTTTATCAGTTTGAAAATCCTTCATTTATTGATTTTAAGTATCATATCAAATTAGTATGATATTATTATGTTGTGAATGTAGAGTTATGACAGATAACATTTATCACTTATATGTATGATGGAAGTGATAGATTGATAGCTTTATATTGTTCAAACTAATGAGAACTATGAGCAGGACATACATGATTCGAGATGTTTAATTTTGACCTTGTGAACAGCACGTGGCAGAACAATCTCACCACAGGGTCCATTTTGTAGCTGTTCTGCAGCATTTGTTTGTATCACAAGATCTTTCTCAGCATATTATATTTGCCCTGATGTAATAAAATTGCAGATTGCCAAGAAGTCAAGGAGCCAGAAGTTGAACAGGAAAGTTGATCAGCATAACAAAGTTTCTTTTAAGCCACCACAGACCACAACATGGAGAAGATACACTTGATTATTTTACATGGGGGAAAAAAAAATCCATCTCTGGACTTTTACCCAGCAGCCTGCTGTTTGTGTCCCATGTGAAACCAAAAGAAATCAAGTTATTTTTATAACAGATGCAATAAAAACAGAAGGACTGTCCTGATTGTAAACTGAAAGTTTCAGAAAGTGTTCAGAAATACATTCCAAGCTCAGCTCAGCTTTATTGCATCTATTTCATTCCCTGTCTTTGAAGAGCACCTGAGCGTTTTTTTGATGGTTTTGGCCCAGTGCAGCACTCACTTTTTTCTTTTTTTCTTTTTTCTTTTGATAACAATTGTATGTGTAGCATGCTACACCAGAGACATATGTCACGTGATGTTACATGAAGTTAGAAAAATATGTACTATTTAAAGCAAAACCATGATATGTTTTTTTCTAAACCTAATCATGTGCCGTTGTTGCCTAAACCTAAGGAAGTAAACCTAAAAATACTTGTTTTTTTGTTTTGTTACGAATGTTTTAATTTTTTTTAATTTTTTTTTTAAGGAAACAGAGCATGTAAGGAGGGTAAATTAACACGCCATCCTTTGGCATCCAAAACTGATGCAGGAGAGGTATCTAGCGATTTATATTTTGATGTGTAGTGCCACTTACCAAGCATCAGTATTTGTCAAGTTGGAAATGAGAATGTGTTGGGAAAATAGAAAACTGTGGGACCTTTAACTGTGTGTCATTTTACATTAAAGGTCTCGTGTGTAGGATTCAGTGGCATCTAGTGGTAAGGTTGCAGATTGCAACCAAATGAAACTTGTGTGGAGAACTACAGTGGTTGACACAAAAACGCAAATGGCCCTATCTAGAGCCAGTGTTTGGTTTGTCCTTTCTGGGCTATTGTGCTACTCTGTATGTAGACATAAACAGCTCATTCTAAGGTCACAAAAATGCAACAGTTCTTAGTTTTAAACTAATGAAAACACAGCTATGAATATTATATTACATTTCTGCTAATAGATGACCCTTAATCCTAAACACTCTACCTTTAAGGTAAATCTCTGACCCAGTCCTTAAACAAATATTAACAAAAATGTTTAAACCCTAATTTTTGTAATTTTGCTGTTATTTGACAGAAATGTAAATTCAGCTTATTGTCACAAAGAAATAATTAGTCTGCTGATTATCTTCTCAAGTAGTCATTTTGTCTATAAAATATCAGAAAATAGAAAAACAAAATCCTCATAATAATTTCTAACAGCACAACAGATCATGTTTAAATAGTGTTATCTGAACAACAGTCTAAAACCCAAAGATATTAAGTATAATGTTATATGTGACAAAGAAAAGTGTCACATCTTTATAATTTGAGAAGAATCAGAGAACACTTGGGATATTTGTTGGAAAAATGACTGAAACAATTAATTAGACATCAGAATAGTTTATTTCACCAGTAGATGCCAACTCTCCCTCTGCCTCCTCTTTAAGGGCCCTTCTTCCTGAGCCAGCAGCATCATGGGAGGTTCCACCTCCTCCCTTGTTGACGACGCTGAGGGCGATGCTGCCCCTCGAGGTGCAGCTCTGCCCCCCTCCCCCATCATGGGATGTTTGAGGAGCAGCCAAAGCACCTCCATACCTCGGCAGCTTCCCAGACCCAGCAGGCACAGAGAGCGCAGGTAAGAGAAGAACAATGAGGGGAAACCTGTCGTCCCACCAGTCTTTGGGCCAATCCGTCAACTAGTTATGTGAAAAACAGTCTCAGGGGAGTACAAAACTTACAATTTAGCAAACCATGGCGGTCATGAAGTAAAATTTAGGATACGATATTTGAGGGTTTCCCATAGGGATGGAAAGTGCTTCTTCTTCTAGAAGCTGTGATGATGTGATCAATCAGTTACTCACCTGTTGAGCTTCATGGCTGTTTAAACAATCTCCTCACTTATTAAATATGTGATCACTGTTGTGTAATGCGGTACCATTTCTCACTCCCCCCTAAGCTTATTAAACCTAATATTATATTGCCTAAACATTTCAAAAATTCCTCTGATGTTAATAAAGACATTTCTTATTTCAGGGGTGTCACTCCCACTCTGCAAAAAAAGTTTTTGCTTCAGACAACTAAAGGTGTTTTCAGACAAAAAGAAAACTCTGCTTTCCTCTGTTATTTTCTTCCAGTCTCTCCTTCTATATGTTCAGCACATTTAAAAAGGCCTGGGATAAGTTGAAACATTTCAGCTCAAACAGACGCATCTTTGTGTCTATTTTCAGTGCCCCAGCGAATTTACGTTTAGTCCCATCTTTCAAGTGACTTTGTATTCCATTGTGCCGCCTAAAACTGTCAGTAAAACTTTGTCTGAACACAGTAGTACTTTAGTTTGCAAAGTTTCTTCAAAATCTTTTGTTTCTGTAAAAGTATTTGTGTGTGTGTGTGCACATAATCAGAGCTCAGCTTCCTGCACTTGAGGTAAGTTTTATGTGTAAACTCAGAACTTTCGCCTTCAGGTTCAGCTCTTTCATAACTGCAGACACACTATCTCATTCATCATTGCCAAATCGAAGTCTTTGTTGTCAGGCTCCCTCTTTCAAAGCTACTACAATATGAACAAAAGAAAAACATACAAGTAAAAATGAGAAAACAAGACATAAAACATGTAACTGTGCAGAAGTTTAAACATTGGAAAAAATAAAATAAAATATATTGTTGTAGTAGACTGGTTTACAGTGATAAAATAAAAATAAAAAGAATGCAATATAGACAGGCTAAAATAAATTTATATGAAAACTGTGGAGTGTGCAGGTACACAGGTAGAAGAGGCAGTATAAAGGTAAAGTGTACCAAACAGTGACGAGCTCAACGATTCAAGACTTCAGCTTGGAAAAAAGCTCAGAGCACTCTGGAGGTCACAGTCCATTTAAGCCTGATGTAACTACATTATCAGAAAAAAAGCAGAGTTGCAATTCTGAGGTTACCAAACCATGAATGCTCCACTTCATCGGCTGATATTCTGTCCCTGGAAATCACCAAGAGAGTTGGCAGTACACCAACACAACTTTTACTCAGCTGATACAACAGACTTGAGTAGGTCATATCAACAGTCCTGGAACTACAGACAGAAATAACTCTTATGCGTGAAAAAGCTCTTTTTAGATCCACTGAATGGTTTTAAACCACAAATTTATCCAAATAACTCAGTGAACATGTTTCTTGGCGCAGGACCCAGAGTCGTCTTCCTGATTAGAGTTGTGAAACAAATCAACACTGGTCTCTGTCAAATGTGATTCATATGTGAAATATAAACACAAGAAAAAAGAGGCTATTGATCTTCTCTGAGACAGTCTTGTTTGTTTGTTAACTCGCAGTGTAAAAATGAGTGATCATGGTGATTTATTAATGTTATTGCGCCACACATTGCACCTTAAATGTGATAGCTGGTGGATGTTTAATTTATATTCTACACTTGTGTGGACATCCCGGGCCTGGGAATGTGGTCATGAATTTTTCATGAATCGTTCAATATGAAGTAAACCTCAGGCTTCCTGAGTTTTGTTCAAATCTCTACTTATTAATTATTACTCTGCCTCTGTCTAATGTGCTGCGTACTGTATATTTTGCCCAGTGTAAGTCTCCTCTGCTGCCACACTGTCCCAACCTCCATCAGGCTTGGTCCTAGCAGGAGTCAAGTTACTCTCTGACAGGAAATGTAACGCGACCAGGGAAATCCCTGATGACTGAACTGTAGACGGTAGTCTGGAGAAGCTCTTCAGAGGGAATTTGGGTCTGCAGGCCACTTTACATTCAGTTCGATGCAAATGGACTAACAGTGACGTCTGAAAAAATGTTGATGACGTTTTACAAAGCAGGAGATTTTGAAGTATGATTTCAAGAAAATGTAAAATCATCTATTCCAGTGATTTAGTGAAGTGAGTCAGATATCAAAAACTTTAATTAGTAACCCTAGAGTTTTGGGCTTGAAGGGAGTGTGTGTGTGTGTGTGTGTGTGTGTGTGTTTGCTTGGCAAATTTAAAAGAATAAAGTAAAATTCCAGAATATTTTTTACTGTATTTGAGACGATTTGAAATGTTGAGGATTAGGTGAAGAAGCTCTTTATAAAATGTTAAAAAAATTTCTTCTTATGAAGAAAAAGTTCTTATTCTGATATATATGTGCATAATTAACATTGTGAATGAATAAATAATTAGTTACTTATTATTTTCAAATTGAGACTATAATAAGATGCTTTCATTGAGTGTGTGTCACAGGAACTAATGAAGGTACTCTGGGAATTTGCAGTGGAGTAAAATATCAATTCAGCTTGAAAATATTGTCAAATAAGAGTCATTTTTAGGTAGCACTGGAGGCATTATGTGAGTTTTTAAAAGCCACCCGTGCAGCAGCAAAGTATCTCTGCTTCATTCATTCTTCATGCTGCTTCATTCTGTTTAGAAGAAATAGCTGAGCTCTGCATCATAGGAACACCTGCATCTTAGCGACAGTTTGTACTACAACAACCTGTCCAGGTTGGACTGTGCTGGAAGTTTCCGGCTTGATGCCAAAGCTACTTAAAGCACAGATAGAAAATGTGGGCCAGCCTCCACACAGATGTCCCACTGGCTCCTCCAGTCTAAATTTTTCCCTGGATGCCACAGCACAGATAATCTGGGTCTGTTTTACAACCTGATCACAATGATAACATAAATCTTAGATGTACAACAGTGTTTTTGAACCAAACTCAGTGTATCACAGGTGGTGAAATGCCTGGATTAACTCGCAAGGAAGGTAAGAAATCACAAATATTATAGAATCCATCCGTCTGTGGGTAACAGTTTATGTTGTTTCTGTAGAGCAGCTTCTTGTATCATTTCCATATTCATGCATTTTAATTTTCTCCTCCGAGACACCACAGGGTATAATGCACCCATTTATATTTGGATCTTTCCTCTCGTCTTCCCGGCTCTCTCTTCCTTCTCTCCCTTTGAGATTTTACGGTTACATGAAACCAGATTTCAGCTGAAAATTGTTGTGATATTTTCCACATATGACACATTCTATTGGCTGATACATGTAGAGGTTATTATATCAGTGAGTTTGACCACTGTCATGCCAAAGTCACAGAAAGACTACAATACTCCATTAATTAAGAAGAAAAACAGTTACAGCCAGTGTAAGAGAAGATGAAACTTTATTGATCACAGAGTGTAAATTCATGTTATAACAGCACATATGGGGAAAAGATATAAATAGAAGATAAGAAGATATACAGTATGATACCTTAGGACGAGGATATAACAGAGTTGTGCAAAAATGTGTGCAAAAGAAATCCAGTATGGCAACACCAGCAGCCATGATGTGTCAACTAAATATAAGATATGAGTTGTATCAGTGATTTATACAATATGTCAGCTCTACACAGTGATAGTACACTACAAAAAATACAATACACATACATGGAAAGAATATCATTATAAAGCATTTGATATGATAAACAGTGTAATTCTGAAGTTTCGTGTCTTCTCTCCAGTTTTTCTTCTGGTTCGATGCCCATGCAGAGGAGCCAGTGGGCTTGTGGCTGTTGCACTTTCCTCAACGCAGCTGCTGCTCCCCGCTGCTCCATCTGTGAAGCCCCTCGGCGAAGACCCGACACCCGATGGATGTGGCAGGGGACCAGCAGGGAGGACGGTTGCTGGTCCTGTCCACGCTGCACTCTGGCCAACCCCGCAGACACCCTAGCCTGCTCTTTGTGTGGCTACACGGGAGCACTGGACCGACCTCGGGGCTCGTCTGAGGACCAGCCACGCCCTCAGCGCTCCAGTAGCTGCTCTGGTCCCCTTAGGCCATCGTCTAATGAGCCGTGCAGGCAGCAAAATAAAAAACAGCCAGGAGATGCAGTAAAAAACAGCCTGGTTTGGGAGTGTTTGAGGTGCACTCTGCAGAACACCCCTACCTCCATGTCCTGCTCTGCTTGTGGCGGACCACGCAAGCTGTCTCTCCCCCAGATCCCTGCTGATGCCTTGCTCATGCCTGAAGATCAAGCAGGAGTACACCAACCAGAGCCTGCAGCAGGAGCGCTGTCCCTTTCCATATCAACTGGAGGAGAGTGTTTACCAGTGGAAGCTTCATATCCACAAACAAACTCTTCAGTGCTCAGTGTAGCATCTTCAGGTCATAATAATCCTCTTCCCTGCAGTCGCAGAGAAGTGCCACCTCCAGAAGGTTGCCTCAGTCAGACTCATAACATAAGTCCTTCTCCATCAACGCTAGCTGTTTCACAACTCTCTGCCCAACCAGAGCTCCTGCCTAGCAGACGCCTCAGCATCCTCAAGGAGGAAATGTCACCGCTGTCACCGGCACCAGATGCACCTGCATCGTTCCCACCATGCATAGTCCCTGTTAACAAGACAGAGGAGTGGTCATGTCCGGCCTGTACTCTCATTAACGAGGTAAAAGCCAAACACTGCCTGGCCTGCCACACGCCTCAGCTACACGCTGCACTGCTTAAACCAGCTCTGTCCCCAAAGAGGAAGGAGAGCATGCTGGTGGAGGCGCTGCGGCAGAGTGATGAAGGAGAGGCCAAGGAGTTGTGGGACAACATCATCAGCTTCTGCAAAGAGGTTTGTACACAACACGACTCAGGCTCGCTTAGACTATTAGCTTTCCAAGTGGAACCTTTAAAGTAGCAGTATACCTTAATTTAAACTGTTTCTTCACTGTGATGTTTCAGCTTCACTGTGCATAGTTTTCAAATTAATCTGGTGAAGGAGGAAAGTTTCTCTGAGCTCATGTTGTTTTTCTAAAAAGAGAAAAGGAGTGCATGTATTTAGTAGATGTATTTTCAATGAACATGTCTGGAGGTGCTCTTTAAATTAACAAGACACAAGATGATGGGGCTTTCAAGTCACTGTGACAGAAAACATAACTTGCTATGATAACAAGAAGTTATTCCAAAAGTATTGTCGTAGTCGTATCACACTGTATCAAGTTGTGTCACATATTTAGAGCAGGAGAATCCTCAACCCCTGACTCTCGCTCTTTTTAGTTTTTCTTTAATATTTATTTAACCAGGACATCCTCTCTTAGATTAAAAGTCTCTTTTTCAGCAGTACCCTGGACAAGATCGGCAACAACGAGTTACAAACAACACAAGACAAACATATGCCACAAAATTAGAATTAAACAGAAGCACAATGATAAAATCATGAATTACATTTCTAATACAATCATAGAAAAGGCACCTTAAAACCTTAATGCTGTGTAACACCATCAAGATAACTAACATCAGTCTAAAAATATGATAGTAATGGCACTTAAACATCAGGAGTCTAAACTCCTGGTCATATTTTTTATATTTGAATAAAGTCTGTTTCATTTTTTTCCTGCAACACGTTTGAGGTTCAGTTATTTCTGTAATTTGATTCCCTCTTCCCAGAACAACGTGACATTTGTGGATGACAGCTTCCCTCCTGGTCCAAAGTCTGTGGGCTTCCCAGTGGATGACAGTGTCCAGCATCGGGTTAGAAAGTGGCTTCGTCCTCAAGAAATCAACTGCTGCAACTTCAGAGACCGTGCAGTGAAGTGGTCTGTTTTCCGCACACTTCGCCCATCTGACATCCTGCAAGGACTTCTGGGTAACTGCTGGTGAGCCAACTCAACCCCACATTTACCACTGTATTCATGCATACCGCACTGCACATGGGTGAAGGGTAAAACAGATGTGGCCCAAATTAAAACAAGAAATTAAACTATTTATTGACTGTCAGTTGCTATTTTATTGCCTGAAATGCTCTACAAACATTTTGGAAATAAGAAAATTGCGATAAATCTGTCAAAGTACATACGTCCACACTCCACAATCAGTTATGAGCTATCCTGTGATGGTGAGATAGTAAGTGGAGGTAAAATGAATATTTTAAAAACACTGCAATCGTGGCTCCAAATGGGAAACTATTAGGAAGAGAAGTGCTGATCAGAGGAGAATATTTCCAGCAGCCCTGTTGAAACTGGAGTGAAGGACAATCAACTGAGCACAAGTGCTTATAGCTACTGAAGCAGTGTCAGTGGTCTCCACAGCACCTGATGAGGGTGCGAAAGAGTTAAAGTGCCAGTTCTAGTGCTACCCCTTCCTAAAGCATGGCTGTAACTGTCAACAGCAACTTAATGTTCTGATTAGGAATACATCTGCCTCCTGCACAAACTGTTAGTAGCTGAATAGAGTAGACCTACACAACTGTATTTTAACATCATAATGGGGGTACTGGGAGAGTCTTATATTTTCTGAGGTGGTACACAGTGTAAAAAGTTGGAGAATTTTTGAATTAGTCAATTGACTGAAAATGAATTGGCAACTATTTTGATAATTTAAATCATTTTTCATCTAAAAACCTTTCGTGGTTTCAGTTTCACTGATCTGAAGATCTGCTGCTTTCCCCTGTAATAATTGTAATGTATCGGTAATAATGTTGAGGTTCGGGCTGTTGGGATTTCTCACTGTTTTTTAGGAACGAATCAATTATTAAACTAATGAAAATAATCATTAATTAATAGTTCAAAATGAGCTCCGCTTCAACCAACTACAACAGTAAAATCTTTTTTTTACATTAATGCATGAGTCATAACAATGTTGATGATTTGATATGTAATAGTATAGTAAAGTATAACAGACACAAGGGATGTTTTTTAATACATTAAGTACATTTTCCTGATCATACATGATCATGCAGGACTTTTACTTGTTAGAGAGTGTTTTTACTGTATGGTATTAGTACTTTTACTGCAGTAAAGGATCAGAATACTGTCTCCACCACTGCTGGGTCCAGGTCAGTTATACCGTGTGTCTGAATGTTTTGGAGAACAGGTTCCTGAGTGCCTTGGCTGTTCTGGCTGAACGTCCCGAGCTGGTAGAGAAAGTGATGGTGACTCGCTCAATATGTGTAGAAGGAGCCTATCAGGTGCGTCTATGCAAAGATGGTTCGTGGACCACAGTGCTGGTGGATGACATGCTGCCGTGTGATGAGAACGGCCACCTCCTCTTCTCTCAGGTAAAATCTTCAACTCAAAACACTCAACTGTATGTTTAGGTGTCAGGCAGAAGTAAATATGTTAGCCACAAAACACACACAAAAAAGGACTTGGACTTGCAACAAAGTACAGAGTGAAATTTAAAAGTGAAAAAGTACGAGGAATTGGCCAAGTAGTGATTAATTTGAAAAAATTTGCTGCAACTGATATGCTTTTTTATATTTTAATTGTTTTAGCATTCCATTTTTTTAACTCAGCTGCCATATTGGAGGATGTTTTCAGATCCTAGAAGTACCACGGTATAAAAATACTTCATTACAAGTAAAAGTCCTGAATTGAAACTGTCATTCAAGTAAAAGTATGAGTACGTTTTATGAGCAAAATATACTTAAAGTAGCAAAAGTAAAGTAGTGCTCATTATGCATAAGGTCATCTTTCACAGTGTAAGTGTAGTAGAAGAAGAACTTTATTAGTTTTGTGTCACTGACAAAAAACTATCTCAGGGCCAAATTTACTGCAGTCAGTATTTCTTGTTTTTCAGTGATTGCATTATTGGGTGACGCTAATGCAAGTTTAACAACATATCTGTCCTCATGCTGTACATTTTCCTACTATGTCAGATTACCTAAATAAATCACAACACATCACTTGTTTGACTTTCAACATTACCCATACATCATTAACAGGATCCACATCCTTCTCTCTGCATAACAACATTGTACCAGTTGTCTGTCACATTTCCGTTTTGAGTTCTGTTTCTTTTTTATTTCATCATATGCAGGGCTGATTTTCCTCTGTTCATCACCATTTTTAAGCTGAAGTACAGGAGATAATTAATCCTTTTCTCCTTATGTTCCCTCTCCAGGCCCAGAGGAAGCAGCTTTGGGTGGCTCTGATTGAAAAAGCGCTGGCCAAGCTCCACGGCTCCTACTTTGCTTTGCAGGCAGGTCGTGCCATCGAAGGGCTCTCCACACTGACAGGGGCCCCCTGTGAGTCGCTGGCCCTCCAGGTCAGTGCCACCAACCCCAAGGAAGAACCCATTGACACAGACCTCATCTGGGCCAAAATGCTGAGCTCCAAAGAAGCAGGGTGAGTGTCAGGAAAAGTCTCTGAAAAGACTGTAGTAGTTTTTCATTTTGATCTGTTCAAAAATTTAATCCTAAACAGATTATCCTTTTTATGTGCTGCTAGTTTCCTGATGGGGGCATCTTGTGGAGGTGGTAACATGAAGGTAGATGACTCCGAGTATGAGTCCCTAGGTTTACGCCCACGACATGCTTACTCTGTCCTCGATGTGAGGGATGTAGACGGTCATAGGTGAGGAGTCAAGTCTGCTTTCCAATCATGAAAAAAACACAAACTTATTAAAGCCACCCTTCAGATAGCGATGCAACAGTCTGTTGTGTTTTTTTTAAGGTTACTGCAACTAAGGAACCCTTGGGGTCGCTTCTCCTGGACTGGACCCTGGGCGGACGACTGGCCAAACTGGCCTCCGCATGTAAAAAGGGAGCTGTGCGCCCAGCGAGCTGAGGACGGCCTGTTCTGGATGGACTTCTGGGATTTCATCAGGTAGATCAGGAGTTAAACTCTGTTTGATTTTGTATTCATTTTACAATCCCAGTTTAAGATGTGTCACATATTTTGCTTACTTAGAAAACAATAAAGCATTTATTCATTTTTTGAATAAGGAAAGATGTTAATGTGTTCACACGTGTCTTTGAGTGTGATTTTGACCCTGACAGGTACTTTGACTCAGTGGATATCTGTAAGATACATTCAGACTGGCAGGAGGTCAGAGCGCCGGGTGTTTTCCCCCGAGGAGCCGACGTCCCGGTGACGTTGGTGTCTGTTACAGTGCTGGAGAGAACAGCTATGGAATTGGCTTTATTCCAGCAGGGTAGCAGGTAAGACAGTGCTACATCTGACCTGCACCTTCACATAACTGTAATTACAGGTCTGAGATATGTTCTGTCCAACACACTGGAGATAGTACATGCAGACAATAATTTGGTCAATTTGGACTACTTGTGTTTTCTCCTGGAAGTTGTTTGGAGATTGTTCAGAGTGAAGAGCTCGAGCTGAAAAAAGATTCAGTTATCTTCTCCTTTATTGTAACACACATTTAACAAAGCAATCTTCATTGTAAAGCTTTGTGTCAAGTCAATTTTATTAAATGGCACCAATTCACAATGCAAGTTATCTCATTATATTTTTCATAAAGAGCAGTCAAGACCATGTTTTTCACTTTACAGAGACCCAACTTTCCCACATTAGCAAGCAAGGTGACAGCGGGGAGGAAAAACTCCCGTTTAATGGGAAGAAACCTCAAGCAGAGCCAGGCTCTGGGTGCACCACCATCTGTCGCAACTGGTTGGGTTGAGAGAGAGACAGAGAGAGAGAGAGATGCACAGCAACAACATTAATAACAATAACAGCCATCCAAAAAAGGAAAGCACAAAAACTTTAGGGAAGATGTCAGATTAGAAAAGTGCATTAATGGAACATGAATGTGTGCAGATGGAGAGGAGGAGGAGAGAGGAGCTCAGTGTATCAAAGGAAGCAGTATAGGCCTATAGGAGCATAACCAAGAGATGGTTCAGGACTTACCTGAGCTAGCCCTAACTATAGGCATGATCTTAAACCAGTGGTGTCCTTTTTTTTTTTTTTATGGGAGCCAGATTAGATCATTTGAAAATACCTATAGGCCAGCTGCTTCTCGCAGCATATGCATTATTTAAGTTTTTTAAAAACACATAAAAATTTAATAAACACAACTTTACACTTCTTTCTTTCTTTCTTTGCTTGTTTACCATTTCTTTATGAAGACACACTAGTGCTGTCTGCATTGTGCTCACATGGTGCATGTCTTAAAAGTGTATGATAGTCCTGCCATCCTGAGCTGAAAGGAAAAAATGCAAAATGATCTTGCTTGATTAACCAATATTGTGCGGTGGGCAACATATGGTATGCTTTGAAAGACAAGCTGCAGGCTGTTTAAAATTTGTCTGCGGGGCCACAATTTGCCCCCATGCTGGACATGCCTGTCTTACGCTTAATCTTAAATGTGAAGAGAGTGTCTGCCTCCTGAGCCCGAACTGGGAGCTGGTTTCCCTGGAGAGGAGCTTGATAGCTGAAGACACTGGCTCCCATTCTACTTTTGGAGACTCTAGGAACTACAAGTAAGCTTGCATCCTGAGAGCACGCTGTTCTTGTGAGACAACAGAGTATAATAAGCTCAACAGGATATGATGGTGACTGACCTTCTGTACTTTCTATCTCAGTAAACAACCTTGTGTTCAGTCCTCCATTATGTCAGCCACAATGCAAATATATGAGGCAATAAAAGATTTAGATTAAGATGACTACAAACTGATCCATGTATAAACTAATCTTGTTTCCTTCTCCTGTGTCCTCAGGCGATGGGACACAGCAGAGAGCCACCTGTTGGATTTGTGTGTGTTGTTGTTTCGGGTCTCCTACGACAGCTCAGGTACCCCGACGTTGGGTCGTCTCCTGGCTCACAGCCGGCGCTCAGTGAGAAAGTTTGTAGGCTGTGATGTCATGCTGGAGCCAGGAGAATATGCTGTGCTCTGCTGCGCTTTCAACCACTGGCACAGCATCGGCACAGAGGGGACAAGTAAGAGCACCATCATCAGGCTGTTTTTCAAAAACTATTTCAACTTCTTAAAAATGAAATTATTTCTTTTTTGAAAGAGAAAAATATGCACATTACTTGACAACAGAGTTTATTACGCATCATACAAAAAGTAGCTTTGGAGGCAAAGGCAGGAAAAATAAAATTGAAAAAAAAAAGTGATATAATAGAGAAACTTAAACTAACTGCTGAGCAAAAGGCGCCTGAACTAAACTCGCCACCAACAATTTGCAAATCAAGATTAAAGCAACACAATGGAGTTTTTGAGCCCTCAAAATATATATATTCAAGATCCTTGTGATCATCAACTCACAATAGGTTGGATGACACCTCTGTCATTGCTTGAGAGCGTCTGTTTCACTTGCACTGGCACTATGCAGTTTTGGGGTTCGGGTAGGAACCAGGACACAAAAAAGACTATAAAATTTGGCTGCTTTACGGCATTCGTCACATCCCCCTCCTCTCTTTAGAGTAGCGTAGCCGAACCGAGGTGAACGAAGTTAGACGTGGTTGTTGAAGCGACAAACAAAAGGCCTGGCTTTCACACGCTTGCGAGAGCTGAAAGAGGAGGGATGCCTGACCGATGGTGACCTGGCGCTGTTACTGCTGTTACCCTCTACTTAGGAGACTCACTGTCTGCAGGTCGGCTGCCTCAGGTACATTTTAAGATAAAGTGTTAGCCTACATACAGACAGCTTTCATTTTAGTTTGTCTTTAACACTTTGCTGTTAGCACCGCGAGCGCAATGTTCTTGTGTCGACTGCGATCGTAAATCATAATAGCGGTGAATGAGAGACTGCGGACAGAGAAGATTGAAATACGGCTTTCTACATGCTGATCACATGTATTGATAAAGTATTGGCTTGGCTGGCAGAGGTTTTATCACACTTACTTAAAGTAACAAGTGCAGTTCTCGTCAACTAGAGTAATCTTGAAGTTATATTCCCTTCATCTGCACCGCAGCCTCTCTGCTGTTGTCTGACCTCACTCTGCTGAGTTTGTGTGTGTGTGTGTGTGTGTGTGTGTGTGTTTGTGGGGGTGTGTGTGCACGCTGTAACCCTAACCTTAACCCTGACATGCAGAGAGCAACGCATATTTGAGTTTCGAAAATGAATAAATAAATAATCAGCCTAATCATGTACAAAATGCTATATCACTACTTTACCTGTTCTGAAGACATGATGATAGCGCATTACATGACCAGCTTCAGGAAGTTCACCGGTATCGTTGGCTTGTCAACAAACGCATGCGCAGAAAGATTTTTGCGACAGTTGTAACAGACAATACCGTTTTTCGTCTGTGGGGGGACCCCGTGAGGTAAAAAGCGCAATCCTCCATTGTGTTGCTTTAATGTAACTGTCTCAATGGCCTAGCTAGCAAAGTTAACATATTAATAGTAATCAATATTTGTAAGAGCCATTTACTCATATGTTTGCCTTTGTGTTTATCTTTGGTGTAATACACTCCTTGTATACTGAGTCAACAGTCACTACCTCATTCTGGGTCATACATAGCGTATTACTTCAGATAAATTTTCATTCTGAAGTTTTTAAGTAGGATTAAAAAAGAGAAATTTTTACTCTTATCTCTCACTTTAGTCCAAAATTTTAGCAGGTTGATAATCAATCCCAAAGCTAAAATGGATTTGCAATACATAATTTAGATCTGTTAATAAGCCACTGTTGCATCTTTACAGCGAGCTGCAGTCGATCAGAGGTGCCTGGTTACATGCTGGCAGTCTACAGCTCCAGACTGGTCATGGTGGAGCACGTAACCGCTTCCAACACCACCATTGCCGACGCCATCATCCAGCTGACAGAAACTAAGGGAGAGAGACATGAGGTAATGCTGCATTCTCTCAGTCCTTGTCATTGCTCATTGGGTCAGTGGTAAATCCATATTTAAAATGCAGTCCTGAATTAAAGTCTTCCACTTCTTAAGCTAAATATACTCCTTAAAACCCTCTTGGATCAGCTGGAAAATGCATCATCACAAAGCTGAATACAGGGCTGTTTTTCTGACACCATGAAAAGTGGTGTCAAAGGACAGCCACACTACGAACATATGATGATCTTATAGAATATGATGCATTGCTGTTGATTAAACTACCAAACAGTACATAAAGGAGTTAAAATTAGAATAACCTTAAACATCTAAGGCAGTAAAATGCAACACATTAATGCTGAAGTAATATTAATCCATCATATAATTAATTAATTAACACATCATATACGTATACAGTACAGGCCAAAAGTTTGGACACACCTTCTCATTCAATGCGTTTTCTTTATTTTCATGACTATTTACATTGTAGATTCTCACTGAAGGCATCAAAACTATGAATGAACACATGTGAAGTTATGTACTTAACAAAAAAAGGTGAAATAACTGAAAACATGTTTTATATTCTAGTTTCTTCAAAATAGCCACCCTTTGCTCTGATTACTGCTTTGCACACTCTTGGCATTCTCTCCATGAGCTTCAAGAGGTAGTCACCTGAAATGGTTTTCCAACAGTCTTGAAGGAGTTCCCAGAGGTGTTTTGCACTTGTTGGCCCCTTTGCCTTCACTCTGCGGTCCAGCTCACCCCAAACCATCTGGATTGGGTTCAGGTCCGGTGACTGTGGAGGCCAGGTCATCTGCCGCAGCACTCCATCACTCTCCTTCTTGGTCAAATAGCCCTAACACAGCCTGGAGGTGTGTTTGGGGTCAATGTCCTGTTGAAAAATAAATGATCGTCCAACTAAACGCAAACCGGATGGGATGGCATGTCGCTGCAGGATGCTGTGGTAGCCATGCTGGTTCAGTGTGCCTTCAATTTTGAATAAATCCCCAACAGTGTCACCAGCAAAACACCCCCACACCATCACACCTCCTCCTCCATGCTTCACAGTGGGAACCAGGCATGTGGAATCCATCCGTTCACCTTTTCTGAGTCTCACAAAGACACGGCGGTTGGAACCAAAGATCTCAAATTTGGACTCATCAGACCAAAGCACAGATTTCCACTGGTCTAATGTCCATTCCTTGTGTTTCTTGGCCCAAACAAATCTCTTCTGCTTGTTGCCTCTCCTTAGCAGTGGTTTCCTAGCAGCTATTTGACCATGAAGGCCTGATTCGCGCAGTCTCCTCTTAACACTTGTTCTAGAGATGGGTCTGCTGCTAGAACTCTGTGTGGCATTCATCTGGTCTCTGATCTGAGCTGCTGTTAACTTGCCATTTCTGAGGCTGGTGACTCGGATGAACTTATCCTCAGAAGCAGAGGTGACTCTTGGTCTTCCTTTCCTGGGTCGGTCCTCATGTGTGCCAGTTTGGTTGTAGCGCTTGATGGTTTTTGCGACTCCACTTGGGGACACATTTAAAGTTTTTGCAATTTTCCGGACTGAATGACCTTCATTTCTTAAAGTAATGATGGCCACTCGTTTTTCTTTAGTTAGCTGATTGGTTCTTGCCATAATATGAATTTTAACAGTTGTCCAATAGGGCTGTCGGCTGTGTATTAACCTGACTTCTGCACAACACAACTGATGGTCCCAACCCCATTGATAAAGCAAGAAATTCCACTAATTAACCCTGATAAGGCACACCTGTGAAGTGGAAACCATTTCAGGTGACTACCTCTTGAAGCTCATGGAGAGAATGCCAAGAGTGTGCAAAGCAGTAATCAGAGCAAAGGGTGGCTATTTTGAAGAAACTAGAATATAAAACATGTTTTCAGTTATTTCACCTTTTTTTGTTAAGTACATAACTCCACATGTGTTCATTCATAGTTTTGATGCCTTCAGTGAGAATCTACAATGTAAATAGTCATGAAAATAAAGAAAACGCATTGAATGAGAAGGTGTGTCCAAACTTTTGGCCTGTACTGTATATATCTATAATAGTAAAATACAGACCGGGAACATTTCACTGCACAATGAGTATTTTTATTGTAAGAACTTAAAGTACTTTCACTTGAGTACGGTTTTAGTTCTAATAGTGGAGTATTTTCACAGCGTAGTGTTAATACTTTGACTGAAGTATAGAATCTGAATACTTCCTTCACCACAGGGTCGAGAGGGGATGACCTGTTATTACCTGACACACGGCTGGGCGGGGCTTATCGTCATGGTGGAAAACAGACACCCAAGACATCACCTCCACGTGTCGTGTGACTGTAGCGACAGCTTCAACGTGGTGTCGACACGCAGCAGCCTCAAAACCATCGACAGCATTCCTCCTCTGCACAGGTTCACTGATGACAAATGATTAGTTGTTTAAGACACATATAAGGACAAGCTTATAGCCCTTTTTATGCAGAAAATGCACTTTAGGGCCGCTACGAAGTCCGTTCTTTATGCTACCTTTGCATTTTTACACAGAACCAATTGTAAAAATGTAAAGACACATATCAATGGGAACAGACATCTACACAACACTGGCATTGCTGAAGCAAAAGAGACATAACAGGCATGACATGTTACACAACAGCCTCTGTCTCTAGTGTGACATGTAACCGCAGTGCTTTATAAACAATAACTATGGCATAACATGCAATATCAATCAATTACCATCCCTGTCATATGGCGGCTGATCTCATTCTCTGCTTGGGGGGTAAGGAGCTCCTAGACCTCATTGTTTTCATTGTATTTGCGGACATCTTTGGCCGCTGTTCTTCTTTTTTGAGTTAGCTGCTAACTGCTATCAGCTGCTTTTTAAAAAAAAATCTCCCAGCGGTGGGTTGCACACATAACACTTCATCAAAACATCAACGCCTGTCCCCAGCCAGCAATGCCACGTGGGGCCCATATGGGGTCATCATGGGCGGCAAATGTGGCCCCCATCACCCAGGATCCACATGGGGGCCAACCGTGGATGCCCGGATGGGCTTTAAGTGTAAGGGTCTTATGTGGGTCCTAACTGGGTCCCATCCTGCCAGCTGTACCTTTTATGCAGGCGCTGTTTCAGCACTGTTACTATCTCCACTGCTGGCTTAAAGGTGAGACAACTCTGTCCCCCCGTTCAGCGATTGTACCATTTATACAGAGTAGTGAGGCAGCATAACAGAGTGAAGTCCTGCCTTGAAAAGGCAGTGTAAAATGGGCTTATGTTTGTCTGTTTTGTTTTATTATAAACCAAAACTGTGGGTAATGTAATGTAATGACTCATTCAAAAGAATAGGTAGAGACTATCAATATTTTTTTTGGGTGTTTAATCAAAAACGAATCCCTCATGAAAATAAGGATTCGTTGTGCCCCTCAAGTCGGCAAGAATTTAGTAATGATTATTTATGCAAATATGATTTACTGTGGTGAAATAATTTGGATGCAGCACAAAGAACTAGAAGCGCAAGAACAGAATTGGTTTCCAAAAGAACTTACTGATGCAAAATTTCTTCCTCAGCCAAACATCCATTTGAACAAAAAAGCAGATTGATGAAAGAAGATGTTAGGGGTTAAATCACTGGATTATTCACATTCCTTGGGAGCAGATTTCACCACACAGAAAATTTCTCCAGTTCTTTTTGATGAGTTGAGAGATCTGAGATGAGACATGAAATATGTCCATGATGTAGAGTTTGAATAACAAATCCACAAATTAAGGGATTTAAGATGCCAAAAATACACAGAGGCGGGGTTTTACAACTCTGAGAAGCTACATTTTACTTGCGACAATCATGACGTAAAGACTATGTGTAGAAACACTGTGTTCATGTGACACAGCAATCCATTAGCAGTGTGTGTTTGCATGTCTTTCATTAGCCACAGTTCTCTGAAGAGTAGAAATAGAAATAAGAATGAAATAAAAGGTGCCAGAATAACATGAAACATATTTTCCATTTAATGCAAAATGCTCTGTAGAAGTTCCCAGACTGCAGCGATGAAGTAATTCAATCTTATACTTTAGTAAAAGAAATGCCACAGAGTATACATTGTTACAAGTAAAAAAAAGTAAAATTCCTGCAAACATAGTACTACTTAAGTAACATTAGTAAAGTACAAAAGTATAAGCACCAAAATACACATGAAATACCAAAAGTGAAAGTACTCATTATGCAGAATGGCCCATTTCAGAGAAATGTTTATTTTTTGGATTATAATTATTTATACATTACTGGGTTCATCACTTAAATGATGCAGCTGGTAAAAGCTCATTTTATATACTGCTCGGTATGACCTTAACCTATATTAATATCATATATTGGTTGATTATATTATTATATTATTATTATATAATAATATATAATTTTATATATCATATTAATAATCTGAAGCTGCAAAATAACTATTAAACTGCAGTAAAAAAACTACATTTCCCTCTGACATGTACTGTATCAGAGATTGCATAAAATGGAAATACTCAAATAAAGTACAAGTAGCTTAAAGTTGTTCTCAGTCAGATAAGATTTTTTTATGCTCATATTGAACTTCTGAGTGTTTGTCAGTTGAACGTGGATGTGAGCGAAGCTTTATTTCTCTCACAGACAGGTGCTCGTGGTTTTGTCTCAGCTGGAGGGAAACGCCGGGTTCTCCATCACACACAGGCTGGCTCATCGTAAGGCTGTCCAGGCTTCTCTGGGCAACTGGAGTCCCTCAAAGGCAACACACAGTCCTGCTCTGAGCCCGGAGACAGCAGGTCTGCATCAGCCTCGACCTCTCTGACTGCTGACTGGGAAGATGAGTCAGGGGAACTGTTGAGAAGTCACAGAGTACACACTAGACATGAGGTCTCAACACTGAGGCAGCTTCTTTAAAGGAACAGTCCAACACTTTAGAAGTTGTGCTTGTTTGTCATTTGACTGTTGATGGAAAACAGGCAAGTCTCCCATAAATGTTGGACTGTTGTGCAAAGAGACCATCATGTTTAGTGAGCAGGCACATGGTGCCATTTCACCTCTGCGTACATTTTTAACTCAGAGCTGCTCAGAAACAGAAATAATCTCACTGTTTGAATTCACTCTCAATGGGCAGGACAAAACAGCCATGAAGCTTTTTAGTTTACTTAGGTTACATAGTAAAGACAATAGAGAGGTAATACAATATGCCACAGTGTCATTTCTGATTCACTGTCAAAACACTTTGATATTTCTTTGGTTTAAATAGTAAGCCATTATAAAAATGGTTTCATTGCATTCTGTGGTGGCTCAAAAGTGTTGATCATTCATTCATAAAAATAACAATATTTCTCTTTTATTTCCTCACTTTTGGTAACAGAAATTCAAGCATCAGTTTATTAAATAAATTAAATATACATTTTGCCTGCAAAGAACATAAACACGGATAATATTTGTCAAAGTTGTTCTCTAAAGTACTGGTACTGTATATGTCCATTAATCAGCAAATTGAACTCAGTTATACTGAAGGTAAACAACAGTTTTTTACTTATTGACAGAACGAAATTGAATATTGCATTTTCCATCCAAAGTCATAGAACCGTGCCACACATCAGAATTTTCCACATGTACATTCTTTAGGTACTTAGCTCATATATTATTTGTCTAACTTGAAACATGTTCTGCTTCACTATTTGAGTTGCCAGTACTTTGAATCTGATCTTAGAGTTCTTATTTATCCCTTCTTAGGCATGTACATTTTCCAAAAAAATCTTGTTTTTTAAACTTCAAATATCTTTTTTTTCTTGCATTATTTTCCTTACAGGCTCAAGTGCAAAAAGCATTAAGAAAATCCCCAAATCTCCTCACTGAAAAAAAAAAAATTCTATATATTTTTTAAACCAACAGATCACTACCTTACTGAAACTAAAATGGAAAATAGGGATAAATCAGAATGCATAAACACCATCCTCATTAAGATTAGAGGCAAACAATCTCTGAACACATCAGCTAATAATGACGATAAAACCCCTGGGAATGAGGGCCATATTTTTGGGCTGATCTGGTGTAGCTAGCAGATATCCGGGCTGAGATTTCCTCTTCTGTGTATTGGTCATTTCGGCTAATGTCTATAAGCAGATATCTGCATATGAATGCAGCTAATTTTTTTTAAGATGATAAAAAGGTAACTAATTGTCAGACAATAGCTGGTGGGTTTCAAGATTGCACTCTGCCTCCACACAAACTATTTATCTGCCATTCAAACATGACTTGTTCAATACTACTCGGACTACAAACGAAATCCAGACACTTGCAATACCAAAATCTTGTCCAGTCGCCTACCAAACCTGCATACATATGCAGATATCTGCTTATAGAGTTAAGATGCAAAGCCATTACCAAAGTACAAAACACCTGAGTTGACTAGTTGACTATTATTGGCCTAGACAACACAACATTAGAAAAATATATCTAGTTTACAGGCCAGCTGGTTCATTCTCTCCTCTGTGTTGACTGTTAATATTGTACTTTGTAATTCTGTTTGTGAGAAACACTGAAAGCCCAGCGTTTAATAATGGTGTGCTGGTTCACAGATCCAGTAAGATCTCTACCAGAGACTTCATCAGTATAGATAGGCCTACATGACATTGATGCCACTGCTTGTACTAAAATGTCTTTGTTTGTATATTTGGCTGAAGTAACCCTGTCTATCAAAAAGTGAGATTATTTCTATCTTCAGATCAGCTCTTCCTCCAACGAAACAGAAGTTGCACATTCCTCCACAAACACATTTAGTACAGATCTTGTTAGTGAACACATGATGCACTTTATATTTCACAGACATATTTCAGATCACAGGCTGGTCTTCAGGTCCAAACTGTCTTAATTGCACTGGTGGTAGATGAGTAGAAGTTATTAACTTTAGTTAGTTGTGTCTGAACTGGCTGCCAAGGATATTCACAGTAATAACAAACATGGTGTTTATTCTCCTCGGTATTTCTCAGTCTTAATACCTAATGTAGGATGGTTAAATAAGGGTATAGGGTTGAGGCTGGCTGTGTGAAAGCATTAGCACTTTATGAACTTTAAACTATGCTGGATTCTCGTGTTTTAAACTTGCACAGTGGGGACAAGTATTCTGTGCTTATTAATCCAAAACATCGTTATTGGTAGAGACATAAACGTATAAACTATGCAAATGTTTGAAAGCTGTTATGATGCTTTGTCATTAAAAACATGAATAGCTCTTTATCTTTGGCTTATCTCTTATATTTTGGGGGGTGTAATGTATTTTATTGTGTCATATTTATTTTTTTCCCATAATGAAAACCAAAACTTTACTGTCACTGTTGACGTCGGGCGTGTCTCCCGATGACGCGATTTACGTCATATCAAAACCATAACATCTGTTGGCAAGACAACTTGTAGCTAGGTAGTTAGCCACCTAGCTACATCACTAGCAGCAGCTAATTTTGTATCTATTTTTCCATTACCTTAAGTCAGGGTGGTGAAACAGCAGCTGCACAGGTATGTGAGTTTCATGTTGATTATATATGTGTGTGCCATATTAGCTCTGCTCGGTGATATAATGTTAAATACAGACGTTTGTTAGCTTCACAATAGCAGCTACCTGGACATCAGAGAGGCAGCTAACGTCAGCTAACTTAGCAGCAATTCCCATAAGATAGCAGCCCAATTCTAAATACATATTAAATATTTCAGTGTGTTTGATTTGTCTCTTATGTCAGTAGAGACACCTACAATAAGAAGCAATAACATGCTAACACAAAAACAGGTAACGTTAGTGGAAAGACCTGAACCAGGATACGCAGTAACGTCAGTGCGATTACTGCCAGAGTCATCGATCTGTTCTGGGGCATTTAGTGTTTAATGACTCAGCCAGCAACATGTATGCGAAGCTGCCGGGCGACATCATTCACCCGCTGCGAGGGGATAATAATATCAAATACGGGGCAACTTAACGGCTCCAAATCGGCCCTGAGGAGGCAGCACTGCAGGTGTCCTAGGTCGGCCCAGTGTCCGCATACCGTTATGAATGCAACCCACCTCTTGCCTCACCTGGCTCTGAATCATCTGAAGAATTTAATTTGAAGTACAAACTAGAAACGAGAGAGCCTTTATTGTTATTGCATAGGAATACTGCGAAATTAGTTGTGACACTCAAGTGATGCATCCCAGCAAAGAACATAAAATCACAAGACACAGGACATTCAGTGAGGATAAAAATGCAATAAATAAATAAACACATACTTGGGCTGCTGTCTAATCATATCTTTTCACTTTATCTCAAAAAATAAACATTTTTTCCACGAGCAATATATGCAGATCATTCAAGTTAGTACAGATATTGCAAATAATCTGGATCACATTCAGGCAAGCAGGCAGATACCTTTAACACAAAATTTATTTTGTCTTTTTATTTGTGTAAATAAAGTATGGTACCAAAAACATGACTGTCGTCAATGGAGTAAAGGTGATTTAAGTAAAATTGCTAGGTCAATACAGCACATGTACAGTTACAAATATAATTTATTTATAGATTTATTGATGCCACTGGTGGCCAGATGCAATGTTGAAACAGTGTATGTGAGTCTGTCAGATTGTAACCAGTGGTAACACGTTGGTAGATAACAGTGTTAGTGTATTTTCCTTACCTTTTGCCTTTAAGTTTTATAGTAACAAAATGTTGCAGTTTATTATAAACTAAAAGAAGCTATCAGTACCTCCATATCAGGTGAAATATTTGGATATTTATGTTCTGTCCATCAGCTTTTGAAATATGTTTCACAATGTGGCATCAGTTCTCCTACAAACAATCACTTCTTTTTTGTCAGAATTTTTTCAGAGACTCTGGAAACTGCAGTTATTAACACTTTCTTAACAATCCAGACATCTCACTTATTGAAGATTTTCTTGGCCCTAAATAACTGATTTGATGTTTTCAAGCAGGATTTCAACCATATTACAGCACTAACTGCTTTCTGTAAGCTCTTAAGTGATCTCTGTTTTCGATCTTCTTGTCTCAGTTTCTTGCCTGGCCTGTCAAATCTGAGCGCCAGTCAGGATAGGGAAGCAAAGTGGAGAGGCAGCTGCCACTGGTGCAGCAAGCCTGGAGGACAAAATGTCAGAAAGCCCAGAGAAAAGTGTCTCGGTGTCGGCTCAGGAGCTGAAGGAACAGGGCAACCGCCTGTTTCTGAACCGCAAGTACCTGGAGGCAGCTGCCTGCTACAGCAAAGCTATAGTAAGTGTTGGGAAACATTCATGAGTCTATTAGTATTTTAATGTTGGTCTCCAACTGTGTATTTATCTTTGTGTTTAAAAAGCCAGAATTCATTCATACAACGTCCGAGTGATTCTTCCAAAGATCTGTTAAAATGATCACTATTTTTACTTTAGAGAGAAGGGACTGACCAAGAAGGTGCCAATTAAATGAAAATGATCTGAATGGTTTATTACATTTTCATTCTTTTCATTTGTGAGAAAAAAAATTGGAAGACACAAGTCGCCACTGAAGTCATCTAAAATGTTTTTTTCTTTGCTAAAGGTAGACAGAGAATGTACGTTAAAGCAGTTGTTCCCAATGTTTTCTTGTTCGTTGTTACTTAAAGCAATGTTTACTTACCTGCTCAACGAAAGAGGGATATATTTTTTTATTTACTTTACTTTTAGAGGTCTAATGATATAAAAATGTATCCAGTAATTCATTATATCAAAGGGAAAAGATTAGAAACAGTTTGAATTTTCTTGTAGAGATCTTGACTTCGGTTGGAGGTTTTAATTCTTGGGTTTATCACCATAAATGAAATGCTAATGTGCAGAACCCCATTCTTGATTTTAAGCACATGAATTGCTCCCACCGTTGATCATGCTGCAGGTATTAAAATAAACTCCAAAGACAGCATCCAACACGCAAACGATGATATAAAATTCAGTGTTTTCTGCTATCAGTTATATTTATTCCAACAGTTTTTATTGCCACAAAAGGATAGCTTTGGTATCACATCATGAGTCGGTATTTGGCAAATTTGAGTTATTTGGATTCAGTATCTGGAGAGAAAAAGTAAGATCAGTGTTTCTTCTTTCCTCTTCTTTCAGACCCACAGTCCGTCTGTCCCAGCATACTATACCAACCGAGCACTGTGCTACGTGAAGCTGCAGCAGTACGACAAAGCTCTGGCAGACTGCAAACACGCTCTGGAGCTCGACAGCCAGTCAGTCAAAGCTCACTTCTTCATGGGCCAGTGTCACCTGGAGATGGAGAACTATGACGAAGCCATCGGCAACCTGCAGAAAGGTATGAGAGATATTTGACAGTGGTGGAGGGTAACTAAGTACATTTACTCAAAGACTGTACTTTGAGTT